AGAATGTCATATGGTCAGATGAAACCAAAGTAGAACTATTTGGTAAAAACACAACTCGTCGTGTTTGTAGGAAAGTGAATGCGGAGTTGCATCCAAAGAACACCATACCAACTGTGAAGCATGGGGGTGGCAACATCATGCTTTGGGTCTGTTTCTCTGCAAAGGGACCAGGACGACTGGTCYGTGTACATGAAAGAATGAATGGGGCCATGTATTGTGAGATTTTGGGTGCAAACCTCCTTCCATCAGCAAGGGCAATGAAGATGAAACGTGGCTGGGTCTTTCAGCATGACAATGATCCCAAGCACACTGCCAGGGCAACAAAGGAGTGGCTTCGTAAGAAACATTTCAAAGTCCTGGAGTGGCCTAGCCAGTCTCCCGATCTCAACCCCATCGAAAACCTTTGGAGGGAGTTGAAAGACCGTGTTGCCCGCCGGCAGCCCCAAAACATCTCTGCTCTAGAGGAGATCTGCATGGAGGAATGGGCCAACATACCAGCAACAGTGTGTGCCAACCTTGTGAAGACTTACAGAAAACGTTTGACCTTGTCATTGCCAACAAAGGATACACAACAAAGTATTAAGATGAACTTTTGTTATTGACCAAATACTTATTTTCCACCATTATTTGCAAAAAAATTCTTTAAAAGTCAGACAAAATGATTTTCTCAAATTTTTTTCACATTTTGTCTCTCATAGTTGAGGTCTACCTATGATGTCAATTACAGGCCTCTTTCATCTTTTTAAGTGGGAGAACTTGCACAATTGGTGACTGACTAAATACTTATTTTCCCCACTGTATATGTGTCTTTTTTTAGTTGTCAGCATATTTAGTCAGGCATGAATGGCCGTCCCGTTTTATGGTAAGAATTTTCAATGTCCGACGATCATAAAACACCTTTGCTGATCTGCATCATGGCTCGAACAACTAAACTGTTTGTTAACATGGAATTTACTCTGAGGAAAAACAATACAAAACCATTTGAACTCTTCAAACCCGCAGAGGAATGATGCGCAAAGCTCACCAAGAAGTGTTTGACTAACAAAAATCTTTGAGAGCAGGAGAACTGAAGGAACTCAGAGTAACGTGTAAACAACGAAAACTTGGATTGAGATGAAAATGCTCTTTTTTTATGAATCCACAAACAAAAGACAGCACTAGTGTTGCTTTTCTTGCACAACTGCAGATTTGTAAAAAGAAAGAAATTGTTTCAGAACAGTGAAACATGGCAGTGGTAGTGTTTTGATTCAAGTTTTCAACTGCATTGATGACAATACGAAATCTGAGTTCTAGTTAATTTTAATGAAAAATGGCACAAAGGACATTAGACAAAGCCTATAAACAAGGCTTTCTTTGACTGCATTTTTTAATAACGATTGATTGTATTGTTGTTTGGCAGATGGAAGTGGTGTTGGGTGGAGTGGGAGTAACAGAAAAAAACTAAGTTGTGATGTTTGTTGGTTTTTTAGAAGGACTGGACTCGAAGGTTTTCTAAGCTACTGTGCTGAGCTGCTTGGTGTTGCTGAAGAAAATAAGTTGCAGGTTTTGTTGAAAATGAGGTCACACGTGATACTGATCACAAAGTTAAGCGTGTTCCAGTCACAATTTACTGTCCCCGACATTTCCCTAATAAATAAAGTATCAGGTGTAACACATGTGGTTAACTGACCTTTTCAAATCTATTTGCGGACTTTAAAATGACCATTCTTTCTGAAGCTGGGGTGTGTTGAAAGGTGATGTGCAGTTAATATCTTACCTGTTACAGATAGCCCTCTGAACAACCTCAGTTGGTCAAACAGAAAGATTTTTTTTTGTGTGAAATGACAAATTAATGGATAACCCAAGGGAGGTAAGAACTAAAGAGAATTACTGCAGGAACTGGCCTTGTTTGTACAACTGTTAATTTGTCCGTCTAATCAGATTTAAATTCTCTATTTATTAACAAGCAGCAGGTAAAGATATGATCAGTTTCTAAACTTGTCTACGAAAACCCATTTCAAAATATCTGAACTATCACTTAAGATAAAACGCTGTTGATCAAATGCAGATAAAGTGATCATCAGCAAGTGTTTGACTGTCTATAAAAGCAGAACAATAAATTATGACGCCTCAATTTAACAGCAAATTCTGAGTGATTTTGACTCAAGTATTAAAATATAAAACATCTGAACTGAAAGAGGATGTTAATAAGAAAAAAATGATTTCAAAAAGTGTCAAATCTCTGACATTACCAAACTGTAGGGTACATATTTGTAAGCTAATCCATTATTGTGTGGGTAATAGAGAGGCATTTCAAAACCAGAGTGGGCTCCAAAATTGATCAAGCATGCTTTTGTAAAGTTGAAACCAAGCTCAGCACGCTTCCCAAAAATAAAACATTACCACAAGGAATCCTTGCAACAAAGGGGAAGGAAAAAAAAGAAATATGAAAAAGAAAGGAAGAGGTAAACAGAATTTGAAGCGGTTGAAAACAACACAGAGCTGGGATCAAAACAAGGTCATTTTTAGAGGCACTGGGATTGCTGCGGGCTGACTTAGATTTAAAAGATTAGGCTCCAGTCTGAATTTGTTTGATCGTAATATTTGTCGCCTTTGGGCTCCCTTCTCTGGGACAGTGGTGGGACTAAATCTTTAAAAAAAAATGAATGCATAAGATTATACATAATCTCCAGCAGGGTTGGGGGTCTGGGCATAGCAACGTCAACAACACCTGTGGAGCATAAAGTCATTTTTCTGTGGATTTTTATTATTGCCTGCAACAAAGATGCAAAGGAAGACAGTAATGTTTTTTTGTGTGAGTGTCAATCTGTTACAAAAATATCTCATGAACCACCAGAAATACTATGATTGTTTTAGGAAGTAATCATTGATTATAGAGCTTATTCACTTTTAGAGCCAACCCAGTTAAAGATAGTCACCACAGCCAGATCACTTTACAAAACACAACAGCTGAGAGTCATTCACAACAAATGCTCCAGGTACGATCCATTGAGCAGGATTATTGCTGAATGGATCATTAACTTTTAGAGTCATTCCAGTTTGTTTGTTAGCAAAATATCTCAGGAAATACTAAGCAGATTTTTAATGAAATTTTCAGATTTTTTTTGATGAATATCTATAACTGATTCGGAAGAAAGTTCAATAAAAGGTGGCTATCACAGATATTAACAGATGCAAAAATAACTATAACTTGGGCCATTTTAGAGATTATAAGTTCAAATTTAGTAGTAGTAACTTACTAGTAATTTTGTAGTAGTAACTGAGAGTCATTCACAGGATTTGAGCTTTACATTTCTGGAGCTTTTGCAGATGGTCTGAAACGCTGGCACTAAATGCAGCAAATGATATGCATTTCTTTAAGGAACTCTGGGCTTTTAATTGTAAATGTGTTGGTGGAACTTCACACGAAGGTGCACTGGCACAGATGTTCTTGTTATCCTGCTCATCCTGTGTGAAATCTGGGAGTCGCTCCGGTCACAACAAAATCCCCCTCTCAACACCCTCTCATGGCTTTGCGGGGTAAGGCCTTGCCAACAGGATAACACCACCTCAAAGTATTCTTGCGTGTCAGTGCATACACGCAAACACTGGCGACTATTCATGTGACCAAAGGGAAGGGGTGGGGGGGGGGGGTGTTGAGAGAGTCTGGCAGATAAAATTTAAAAAAAAAAGTAAAACAAAAGGAAAGAGAAGAAAAAAATATAAGGCAGGGAGTAAATTTTCCTGTATTGTTCGGCACAGTCTCGGTGCAGACTGAGGCTGGGGAGTTCAGCTCAGTTCACCTCAGTTCAGAGGCAGCTCTCTTCACAGGCTATGTGTCGTGTTTGCAACGCTCCCTATCGGCAAGGAAAGGTACAACAGAGCCAATCAAACGATTGTGGTGCACGAACGCGCCATTGGTCAAAACAAATTGTGCCCGTTTTAACGCCTTTGCTGGGGCTCCTTTTACGCATGGCTGCGGAGCGGAGCGGAGCGCACAGGATGACGAGCTCCCCCTCCTCCTAGTCCTCCTGGGGACCTGGTGGCTTTGTAGTCCCGTGGACAAATCATTTCTAATCTTAAAGTAGAAACGGTGACGATCACATGTCTTGGACTGTAAGACCCCGACAATATAAAAGCGCGCGCGCCATTTGGTGCGCAGTAAGAGGGGAAATCCTGGCTCTCTCAGCCCTGTCCTGTGTAACTCCGGTGGCCAATCCAGAGGTGTCGATTTGGTGATGGGGAGGAAGGTGTGTGTGTGTGTGTGTGTGTGTGTGTGTGTGTGTGTGTGTGTGTGTGTGTGTGTGTGTGTGTG